CTCTATTAAGATTCTTGGAATATTTTGTCAAGATTTTACTTGATAGCTAACAATCTAAATTATTTCCATTTTATATGGAAAAGCTAAAATTTAGAAGTTTGTTGTTGCCATTACAGGCTTCAGGTGGCGTAGCCTAACTACAAACTTACCACTCACACTAAATTGCTATAGTTAACAGCATCAAGATTTATGGGCTCTCCAGAGCTCATCTAATCCAACACTGGCAAGGTTATCTTTGAATACTGATACTTAAAACACGATCCGTTCAAACTTTGGTGAGATTTTCTTCTCTGCGGCTAGTATATCCATGTTAGCACCAGAAGTCTATAAACATTTAAGCACATTTTATACTCTATGTTAATGACTCATAGGAAAACACCTGGGTATCAAATACACTTTAGCTCTTAGTGTGCTGTGTGCTATATGTTTGTGTCAGGGGTACATATGCATTTGTATGTGTGTGCATGGGGAGGCCAGAGGACAACCCTGAGTGCTGTTCTTCAGAAGCTTTGTTTCACAAGACAGGGTCCGCCACTTGGTCTGCAACTCACTTGTAAGGCCCTGGGCTCCACCTGTCTCTGCTTCCCAGCACTGAGATTACAAGCATGTACCACCATACCCAGATTATTTATGTGGTTCTGGGGATTGAACTCAGGTCCTCCTGCTTGCAGGGCAAGTACTTTACCACCTGAGGCATCTCCTCAGCCTTTCACTTTAGTCTAAATATGATCTCAAAATAGGTATCAAAGCATACACCACCACGCCCGGCTTAAGTATTCTTTACTAGTTTTATTTCTGACAATTTTCTTTACTGTATTTATGGAAGATGCAAATTAAAAACTAATTTTAAAACATTTAAAGAATGAAATCAGCAGCTCTGTTCAACAGAACTTTCTGTGATGCTAAAAATGTTCTACACCTACATCATCCAACATGGCTGTCACCAGCACACATGGCTATTTAGCACTTGAAATGTGGCTGGTGTAACTAAAGAAAAAATTTTAAATGATTCTCAATTTAGATTTAAACAGCCACATGAAGCCATAGCTGCTAACCAAACATCAGAACTCTAGGGTACCACACATAACAGAAGCACAGCTGTGCAGTGTCTAAGCAAATGCAGAAATTGTGAAGGAGTGATCTGATAAACCACGACTAAAATAATCTGCAATGCTAAAAACCTAGCTGAACACAGTGACATGCCTGTAGCCTGAGCATCTGGGTGGGTGACGCAGGAAGGTCACTTTAGGTTCAACACTACCCTGGGATACATAGTGAAACCCTATCTTAAACCACTCCCCCAAATAATAAATAAAAATAAATAAAAACCTATAAAAACCTAAACCCAAGCATGATAGCAGATCCCAAATATTCAGGAGGCTAAAACAGGAGGATTGTAAGTTTAAGGCCAGCCTAGGCTATATATCAAGTTTCAGGCTAACCTGGGCTTTGAGATCTGTTTTTGAATAAATAAATAATAAAAATCTAAATGTTAGTTCTTACACAATCTTCATATCATAAAATATAATTTATGCATCTTTAATTTTTAAAAATATTATTTTATTTATTATTTTTATTTTCTGTATATGAGTATATTGCCTGCATGTATGTGAGTGCACCCGTGTCATGCAATGTTGTGGAGGTCAGAAGAAGGCGTCGGATTCCCCTGGAAGTGGACTTAACTCCAGCCACCATGTGGGTGCTGGGAATCGAACCTGCGTCCTCTGCAAGAGCAGTCAGTGCTTGTAACCGCTGAGCCATCTCTCCAGCCCCTAATCTGCATGTAAGTAAGTGTACCCATGTCATGCAATACCCATGGAAGAAAAAGAAGGTGTTGGATCCCTTCAAACTGGAGTTATTGATGGTTGTTAGCTGCCATGTGGGTGCTGGGAATCGAACCTGTGTCTCCTGTAAGAGCAGCTGGTATTCTTAACCACTGAGCCACCTCCCCAGTCCCTGTTGCTGTTGCTGCTGTTTTGAGAAATGGTCTCATGTAGCCTAGGCTTGTCTTGAATTTGTTATACAGCTGAGGATGACCTTGATCCTGCCCCTATCTCCTGGTGTTGGGAGCGTAGGACTGGAAGTGTAGGACTGCACCAGCACTCCTGGTTTCACTTTATACATCTTTGTTTTCATATTAAAAAAACAGTTTGGCTATTAATAACAAAATCATATACTTTACATAATTTACGTTTCTGGTAAAATAAATGGAGAAATAAAATGGACTTTGTATCAAAGTCTACATGTCCCTCCCCTCCAAATTAGTTCATACTCTGACCAGGTCATGAAACTTTTCAAAAATGAGTAAAACAAGAGATTTAAGAGGTAATGGGGGGAGGAGGGGCACACTGGAGAGATAGCTCAGCAGTTAAGAGCACTGACTGCTCTTGCAGAGAATCCAGGTTCGATTTCCAGCACCCACATGGCAGCTACGAACCATCCTTAACTCCAGTTCCAGGGGAACCCGAAGCCTTCTTCTGACCTCCATGGCATTGCACGACATGGGTGCACTCACATGCATGCAGGCAATACACTCATACATATGACTGATAGCAAGATAGATAGATGATAGATAGATGATAGATTGATTGATAGAGATGATGATAGATAGATAGATAGATAGATAGATAGATAGATAGATAGATAGACAGATAGATAGATAGATAAAATATTTTTTAAAAAAAGAGGTAATGGGGATAATCCAGGCAGAGGCAGGCAGATCTCTGTGAAATCAAAGCCAGCCTGGTCTACAGGGAGACCTTGTCTCAAAAAAGAAAAAACCAAAACAAAACAAAAAAAGAGGTAATGGGGGGCATTTTAGAAAAGTATTTGGGGACACAAACTTACCATGACCATCTTCCTTTGTTCATATAGTTTCTGTAGCTGGTAAGACTTTTCCTCTGCTTTAATGTAACCTTTCTTCACATCATCAACAGCCTGTTACCAAAACAAAGGCAGGGAAGATGAGAATGTAAAAATCACTATAGGGGGCTGGAGAGATGGCTCAGTGGTTAAGAGCAGTGGCTGCTCTTGCAGAGGACCCAGGTTCAATTCCCAGCACCCACATGGTGGCTACGAACTGTCCTTAACTCCAGTTCCAGGGGAATATGGAACCCTCTTCTGACCTCCGTGGCATTGCACGACACAGGTGTACTCACATACATGCAGGCAATACACTCATACACACAAAATAAAAAGAATAAATATTTTTAAAAAATATTTAAAAAGAAGTCACTATAGGGCTATAGGGTACTTTTTTTTTTTGGTCTTTTTGAGACAGGGGTTCTTGTCCCAGATGGCTATAGCCCCAGCTGGCCTCAGAATCGTTATGTAGGCCAGGCTGGCCTTGATTTTACAGCAATCGATTGGCCTGCCTCTGCCTCCTGAGTGCTGGGATTAAAGGCATGCACCACGACGCCCAGCTCAGGTACACTTTTAATAGAGACCCAGATGTATTTTCAAGAAAACTTGTATTTGCTTGGACCATCACCATCACCACCACAGTGAACTGTCACATGTATTTATTGGAATAACTAGTATTTAAAGAATATCAAGGATTATGCTAGGCATGTGAGGGATCTGGTTTGTCTTATAATTCTGGTAAACTTAAACATGTGAGAACAATGAAGAGCACAATGAAAGATGGTAGGTACATTGGTAGTTAGGAAAGGCAACAATGATATGGCAAAACCACATATGTCGGGTCCAGAAGAGGACCACGTACTGCTAACCACAGTTATCAAGAGGCTGTGGGAAGACGTCCAGACCAGGCTCAGTGAGAACGATTCCAAGCCCAAGTGAGGAAACAGGAATAGGTTTGGCTTGAAGTATACTTCGGAAACAGATCTGCCTGATTTAAAGAATACACGTGAGGGGACCATGACCGATACTGCTGGATAGATTAAATTATCAACAGATTAAAGAATCCTAAAAAGCAGGCACAGGAATAGTTCTGACTTAAGGTGATAGACTTAAGTATGGAGATTAAATAAACAATTAAAAAATCTTTTAAAAAAGAGTGTTAGCTTTGGCATGACATATGCTAAAATTGGAATGATACAGAGATGATTAGCAAGGCCCCTGTGCAGATTTGTGGTGCTCCATATTTTAAAAAGCAAAAAAATAAGAGGGGCTGGAGAGATGGCTCAGTGGTTAAGAGCACTGGCTGCTCTTGCAGAGGACCCGGGTTCAATTCCCAGCACCCACATGGGGGCTACAAACTGTCCTTAACTCCAGTTCCAGGGGAATCCGAAGTCCTCTTCTGACCTCTGAGACATTGCATGACATGGGTGCACTCACATACATGTAGGCAATACACTCATAGACATAAAATAAAAATAATAAAATTTTTTTTTTAAAAAGTAAAAAAATAAGAGAGACTGTGTCCAAATGCCAAGTGAACTAAGGTGAGGAGAGATTGTAATAAAGATTAAGGATGCTGTTGCACTTAAGCAACAAATCATTTCCTACAGTTTTTTTGGTTGTTTTTTTTTTTTTTTTTGGTTTTTTTGAGACAGGGTCTCCCTGTAGCCCCAGCTGTCCTGGAACTCACTATGTAGACCAGGCTGGCCTTGAACTCACAGAGATCTGCCTGCCTCTGCTGGGATTAAAGGCGTGGGCTACCACGCCCAGCCTCCTATAGTTTTTCTAAAAAACAGTTTCTTTTGGGGCTGGAGAGATGGCTCAGTGGTTAAGAGCACTGCCTGTTCTTGCAACTGACTCAGGTTTGGTTCCCAGTACCCACAAGATGGCTCAACAACTGTCTGTAATGCCAGTCCCATGGGATCTTGTGCCCTCTTCTGGCCCCTGCAGACACTGTATACATGTGGCACACTTACATACATGCAGACAAAACACTCATACACATAAAAATAAACAAAATTTGTATAAAGTCTCTTATCCAGGTCTGCTTGGAATTGACTACATAGCCCAGGCAGGTCTTTAACTGAGTTGTCCTGCCTTGGCCTGAGTGCTGGGAATACAGGCATGTGCCACCATACCGGGTTTCCCAATAGTCTTTCTTTTAAGAGAAAATAGCAGAATAAGCTCAATACTGGAATCAAGAGACTAGCTCAACTTCTAGCTCTGTCACCTACAGATGTATACTTCAGAAAGTCCTAAACCCTCTCAGTTTATCAAATACTCATACTTAAAATGACAACAAAAGGAGATGACAGATGTTAGGAACTTTTAAAGTAGTTATGGTTATTATTAGTACCATTTAGCTGTTCCTTTAAGAACTATGGTCATTAATGTTCCACCAGGGACTGTCATGGGAAAGATGATGCCAGTCTCTCTCTAGTCCTGGCCATACTACTGGGGTCCATGTAAGCACAGAGGATTATATACATCAAAAGGATCCTCAGTCAGAACTGCTACATAATGTACTAAAGAACCTGAACACTTTACTATCACCAAAGCTGTGGTTCCAGGCCAAACGAGCCAATTACTGAAAAGCTAGAGCATAAGCAAGAAGGACAAAGTGCTTATTGTGAAGCCTGGCAACTTGAGTTTGATCTCTAGAACTCATACAAAAAAAGGAAAGAAGAGCACCAACTCTACAAAGTTGTTCTTTGACCCTCACACTGTGGCATGTCACATAGACACACACACACTGAACATATACACTTTTCTTGTCATTATTCCCTAAACCAAACACTGTGACAACTACACACACACACACACACACACACACACACACACACACACACACACACACAAAATGTATATTATGTCAGATATTGTATCTGCTACATCTAGGGGTGATTTAAAAGGTACAGGAAGAAGTACAGAGGTTATGTCATAGGCTAATAATACTATGGCTTTTTTATAGAAGGGATTTAAAACATTTTAAATTTTGGAGATCCTGAAACCAATCCCCTAAGTATACCAAGGAACTGTAACTTTGGACATGAATTTTCAAAATTGATCTGTCCGGTTATAAACACTAGGTTGTGTTTGGGTCTTGCTATGACAGCACAAGCTGGCCTTGAACAACTCACCATTCTCCTGCTTCAGCCTCCAGAGTGCTGGGATTACAGCATGTACCACTCAGCAGGTTAAAGAAAAAAAATAATCTAATAACGGGCTGAAGAGATGGCTCAGCAGTTAAGAGTGCTACTGCTCTTTGTAGAATACCTAGCTATGGTTCTCAGCACCCAAGTCAGTTGTCTCACAACCACTTATAACTTTAGTTTCAGGGAATCCAAAGCCCTTTGGCCTCTGTAGGTACTGCATGCACATGGTACATATAAACTCATGTGCACATATACATAAATTTAAAAAAAAATCTTTTATATTTGGCCAGGTGTGGTGACGCACACTTCTAGTCCCGGCACTCAGGAAGTAAACGTAGGTGGATCTCTCTGAGATCGAGGCCAGCTTGGTCTACTTAGTGAGTTCCAGCCCAGTTGGGGTGACAGAGAGACCCTGTCTCAAAACAAAATAAAACAAAAACCCAAACCAAAACCAACAAAACACATTAGGGGCTGGAGAAATGACTCAGTGGTTAAGGGCACTGGCTGCTCTTGCAAAGGACTCAGGTTCAGTTCCCAGCACCCACATAGCAGCTAACAATGCCCTCTTCTGACCTCCATGACGCTGCATGACATGGGTGCACTTACACATATGCAGACAAAACACTCACATACATAAAATAAAGATATGTAAATAAAAATTTTAAATATCTTTATATTTAAAAAATATTTTTTTAAAAACGCATTAAATTCCCAGCACCCACATGGTGGCTATCAATTGTCCATAACTCCAGTTCCAGAGGATCTGACACCTTGTTCTGACCTCTGCAGGCACTGCACAACGCAGGTACACTTACACACAGGCAGACAATACACTCATACACATTAAAAATAATAAATAAAATATTAAAAAAATAAATAAGGGGCTGGAGAGATGGCTCAGTGGTTAAGAACACTGGTTATTCTTGCAGGTCCCAGCATGCAGGTCAGGCAACTCACAACTGCTTGTAACTCCAGCTCCAAGGGATCTGAAGCCCTCTTCTGGCCTCTACTGGCACCAACACACAGGACACACACATATTGACATACACATACATATAAAATAAATCTTAAATGCATAGCACTGGTGCCTTATTTCATGCCTCTATTAGCACCCATGAGGTGGAGTTTGGCCTGCTATAAAAAAGAAATAATAAAAATAAATAAATAAAACATTTAAAAAACCCAACTTTTACTCAATGCTGCATTTTATGTATGTAAGAAATGTTCCCAGCTATATCACCTACTTCACTGATTTCCTTTCTTGAATAATTTATTTTCTGTGAGTTATTCTCCATGTTCTTATTTGTAACTTTCTAATTACAAATAACCAATCTTGTTATCAATTCTTCCACAATAACCAAACACAAACTCCAAGATTCATTCAACTATTTCTTTTTTTCAGTCTTTTTGAGACAGGGTCTCCCTGTAGCCCCAGCTGGCCCGGAACCCACTGTGTAGACCAGGCTGGCCTTGAACTCAAAATCTGCCTGCCTCTGCCTCCCAAGTGCTGGGATTAAAGGCGTGCGCTACCACACCCAGCTCATTTAACTATTTTCTAAAAACTGTCCATGGCTATAGTACCCTCTTTTCCTTATAGCCTTACATCTTTTTTTTTTTTTTTTGAGACAGGGTCTCCCTGAAGCCTCAGTTGGCCTGGAACTCACAGAGATCTGGCTGCCTCTATCTCCTGAGTGCTGGAGTGCTAGCATTAAACACCTGTGCCACCACAGCTGGCTCAGGTTTATTCTACTTACAATCCCATTACTGTTATTTTAGTGAGCTTTCAGGATGAAGCAATTTTAATGCATGTATAATCTATAAGATTTAGCTAGAATTTAAAAATAAAATGTGTATGGTTTTAGTTTTGTAAGATAAAAGGTCTGATATAGAATTCAAGGTCAGCTTGGAGTATATACTGAATTCTAGGCCAGCCTCAGAAACATAGTGAAATCTTATCTCAAAATAAATAAAAGGGTTGGGTGTGGTGGCGCACGCCTCTAGTCCCGGCACTTAGGGGGCAGAGGCAGATGGCTCTCTATGAGTTCAGAGGGAGGCTGATCTCTGTGAGTTCAAAGCCAGCCTGGTCTACATAGTGAGTTCCAGGCCAGCTGGGGCTATAGGGAGACCCTGTTTACAAAAAAATAAAATAAAATAAAAATCAATAAAGGGGCTGGAGAGATGGTCAGCTAAAAAGAGACCTCAAGGTACAATCACGAGGACTGATGTTCAGATACCAGCACCCACATAACAAGCCAGGCATCCTGCAAACACCTGTATGTAACTTCGGCTCCCAGGGATCTGATCCCCGCCACGCCCTCCCCCACTCGTATGGAGACAAACATGAATGAATAAATAGTCTTTTAAAAAGATACATGATTATGAAATTTAAGGCCAGGCATGGTGGGACATGCCTTTAATCCCAGCATATGGGAGGCAGAGGCAGATGGATCTCTGTGAGTTCAAGGCCAGACTGGTCTACATAATGAGTTCCAGGACAACTGGAGCTACAGAGAGACCCTGTCTCAAAAGACAAAAAAAAAAAAGATACATGATTATGAAATTTGAGACAAATGGAGCCCCCAAATCTGTGGTTCTGAATTTTGGAAGAAAAATAATTTTCAACCTAGAGATCTATTACCAATCCTAAGATCAATCAAATGTGAAGGCATCTTCAGATATTCAAGATTTTAAATCAGTGATCTCCTATGCACCCTTTCTTGATTCTAAGAATGTATTCTACCAAAATAAATGAGTAAAGGGGGGTGGGCAGCATATAATCCAAGCACTAGAAATGGGAGATCCACACAGGAGATGGTCATAGTGAAGGTCAATCCCAGAATGAAGCTATGTGCCAGAGTGTAGGGACACCAGTACAGACTGAGATGGGTCAGAAAGCTCCACCTGCGGCTACTTCTGATAATGAAAACTAACAAAATAAATTAGGGTTTTGAATCTCTTTAGAAGTGTGCGCGCGCGCGCGTGTGTGTGTGTGTGTATGTGTGTGTGTGTGCATGAAGGCTAGAGCAGGACATCAGCAATCTTCCTCTAGTTCTCTGTGCCTTATTAGCTTGAGACAGGGTCTGTCACCCTTTCAGCAAGGCTGGGTAGCCAGTGAGCAATCATGCTTGGCCTTTTTACATAGGTGCTAGGGAATGGTCCTCATGCTTACAGAGCAGTGTTCCTAGCCACTGAGCCATTTCCCACGCCTGCTGAATATCTTTAGGGGGGCTGGGCTAATCTTGCCTGCTTTTCTGTCTTGGAGTTGGCCATAAAGAAATCCTCTGAAGGGACCAGGGAGGTTGCTCAGTTGTTAAACTGCTTGCTGTGGGAGCATGAAGACCTCAAATCAATCCCTAACACCCATATCCATATAAGAAACAAAATGGTGGGGCTGGAGAGATGGCTCAGTGGTTAAGAGCACATGTTACTCTTGTAGAGGACCCAGGTTCAGTTCCCAGCATTCACGTGGTAGCTCACATCCAACCATCTATAACTCCAGTTCCAGATGATCTGACACCCTCTTCTAGCCTCCCTGGGCATCGCATGGAAGTAGTGCACTTACACATGTAGGCAAAACACTCATATACATAAAGTAAATTGAAAACTAAAAAAATCCTATAATAAGGTATTCTAAGTTCCCTGAGCTCCATGGGCAACACACAATGCAGAGGGGGCATGGTAACTGGAATTTGTAGCCAGTTATTCAGTAGTTTCAGAGGCCTGGGTTTGTAACTGAGTCTAAAACGAGAACAGTCTTGGAATATTGTCTTCCTTGATCTGTGTGATTTGCTGATATATCCAGGTAAACAGTATCAAACTGAATTACAGCTGGGCGTGATAGCGCACTCCTTTAATCCCAGCACTTTTGAGGCAGAGGCAAGTGGATCTCTGAGTTCAAGGCCAGCCTGGTCTACATAGTGAGATCAGGTCAGCTGGGGCTACAGGGAGACCCTATCTCGAAAAAGGCCCAAAAAACCCAAACCAAAACACAACAAAAAACTGAATTACATTTGAAGACATCTAGCTGGTGTCTACTGCAAAACTGCACACCTGCTGGTGGGGAGAAATTCCCACACCTTTTGATGCCACAGAAGTCTTTTGTGTTGACTGATGTGAGAGCAAAGGAACAGGCATTTGCTCTACCCAATTACACAGTATATATAATATTGATGAAAAAATCTGAATATGTACATAGCCATAAGGCTCATTTTGTTGCTTAAAAATTAGGACGCAATGGTTTTTAGACTCTAGGATAGCTCTACCATTTATATTTTGGGAAATGGGATAAACTAAAATACAAATGTAACTCAGACTCAAGGATTCACACTGAATTGTGAAGTTACCAAATCCTTATAAACAGAAAAAGAAAACAGGCCTTTGAGGAAGATCAATTCACTCACCTGATGAAAGAAGTATGTAACAGCAAGGTCATTGTCATTTAAGAGGATTTCTTCTTCTGTTGTAAAAAGCCACTTTCGAATAGTCAGGCAGGTGCCTGGCACAGCTGACGTATAATTCTGGACGTAGAGTTTATGAGGAAATTCGTTAGGTGCCAGCTTACGTACTAAAGAAGACAAAACAAAGAAAGTTAAAGTGAAAAGATATACAAGGAACTTCCCTAGTATAAACTACACATGGCAGATTAATAATGGTAGGTTATTATTAACTAGAGCATCAGCTCAAATTCATCAAGGAGTTCTACCACAGAACACAAATCACATATCTAGCAAAATCAACCCCTTCTAACTACAACTCTGGTCAATACAACATCAAACTGACTAAAATTCATCCTTCAATGACTCCAATTCTAAAATCTGTTAAAATGCTTGACCCATAATCTGGTAACTTACACTTAACATCCAGTGACCATCAGTGCAGCTTCTCCCTCTTACCCAGCTATGAGACATTCAGAATCGCTCCTACAGCCATTCTCAATGAAACACTTTTACTTATAAAGAGCTGAAAGGACCTTCCCAATCCATTCTCAAAACCCTAATGCATTCATCATAGTCCTTTCCTTAGAATGTCTTCAGAGTAGGGTTCCTGTTTCCTAACAACCTAGCTCCACCAGGCTTGGGCTGAGATTACATGTGTATGCTACCACACCCAGCTTACTTCTTTTGGCTTTATAACACTGCAAATAACAGATTTAAAATTTTTCATTTAAGGGGCTGGAGGGATGGCTCAGCGGTTAAGAACACTGGCTGTTCTTGCATAAGACCCAGGTTCAAATCCCAGCACCCACATGGCAGCTAACAATTGTCCATAACTCCAGTCCCAGGGGATCTGACAGCCTCTTCTGTCCTCCGAGGGCATTGCATGACACGGGTGCACTTACCTACATGCAGGCAATACACACATACACATAAAAATAATAAATAAAAATTTCTCATTTAAGCTGGGTGTGGTGGCACATGCCTTTGATCCCAGAACTCGGGAAGCAAAGGCAGGGGGATCTCTGAGAGTTCAAGGCCAGCCTAAACTACATGCAAGTTCTAGGCCAGCTGAGGCTTACAAGGAGACCCTGTCTCAAAAAGACAAAATAAAATAAAATAAAATTTCTCATTTACAGAAAGTAAAGCCAAAGTTTAGGAAGGATAAGGTTAGAATCCAAGTATCCTGGTATCTTGCCAATTCTTTGTAACACAACTTATATCTGTGTATTAGGCCACTGAGAATTGGGAAGAAAAACAGTAATAGAAAGATGGCTGCTTCCAAGGAATCAAAGTTGTTGTATACTGATAAAAGAAGAAAAGGCTCAGTAATGATCAGACATCCATATGATAGTCTTTATAGGATTTGCTTAGTCTGCTTGTTGGAAAAAGAACTAATCACTGAGCTCTCCTCTAGTCTTTAAGCTCTTCTTGGGAAAACAATTTCTATCCAATGGTATTAGAATAAAATATCCCCCAAACAAAATACTGTATCAGCCAGTAGCACTTACCAAAGGAATGATTGATCACTTCAAATAAGGCAAAGTAATTCACTGTTGTACTGTCCATGCCAACCTTTGCTGCAATAGCCTGAAGTTTAAACAGGATAGAATTGTTTCAGGGAAAGTAAATTCAGATAGCGCTGTAGGAGGCTGGATATGCATGTGGAAGAGGAAAAAGGAGAGATTCTGCATCTTGGCTTCATAAAACTACCAGAGTCTACAGCTATCTTTAAGGTACCTGTTCACATGTACACATATGTATGAAGGCAAGCAGGGGGAGGGGCACCCATCTCTAACCCAAGCAACTATTTTCTAGGAGTTTCTCTCTTCTAATACAAGCTGGCAATAGTTTCTCAATATCAAATTTCCTTTTTCAAATATGAATGCATTGTTCACAAAGGCCTTCTAAAAAAATGACTTATTTTTTTATTTGTGTGTGTGTGTATGTGAATGCCACATGTGTGCAGGTACCTATGGAGGCCAGAAGAAGGCATTGGATCACTTGGAACTGGACTTATAGGTATTTGTGAAAAGAACCAAATTCAATTTCTCTGGAAGAGCAGCAAGTGCTCTTAACTGCCGAGACAGCCCCTTCAAAGGTCTTTTTAGCATCATTTACAAGAAAATGTACTTGATAGGACAGATCTTAAAATGAAAACAAATTAATATATTTTTTGCATTTATTTTATTATTTATTTGTGTTTGTATATGTGTGGAGGTCAGGAGACAATTTGCAGGAGTCTGCTCTCTCCTTCAATAACGTGTCCTGGGGATGGAACTCAGGTTGGTGAGCTTAGTGGCAAATGCCTTTACCTACTAAGCCATCTCACCAGCCCCTGAAAATGAGTTCTTAAATACCCAATTTCAAGACTGTACTTTCAGTGCTCATTTTTACAGTCCATAAACACCTAGTTTCACATATTCAGTTAACATTTACTATAGACTGTTAACACACATAGGATCTCAACCTTTGATTTTTTTTTTTTTTTTTTTAAGAGATAGGGTCTCACTATGTTGACTGCACTGGCCTTGAATTCTTAGGTACAATGATCCTTCTACTTCAGCCCCCTGAACACCTCTGGGTCTATATGTATGTACCCCAGTACTTGATTCTTTGGCTTAAAATATTATGAATTCTACTAAGGCTTCACGAATTTTTTAAAGAGTTCATTTATTATTTTTATTTTATATGTTTAAGTGTTTTAAGTGTATCACATGCACATAGTGCCTGCAGAGGTCAGAAGAGGGCGTCAGATCCCCCGGAACTAGAATCACAGATGGTTGTGAGCTGCCATGCGAGTCCTGGGAACCAAGCCCAGGTCCTCTGCAAGAGCAGCAAATGCTCATAACTACTGAGCCATCTCTCCAACCCCAATATTTTCATTTTTCAGATGTTCTATGTTCCAAACTGGGGACACATTAGATATATCTCCTTCCTATTGATGACCAATATCCTCATGAAAATAACAAAATGTTGACAAAAGGCATATTAAACAAGGATTAATCCTCTCTAGGAATTAAGGACCTAACATAACAAATGAGAAAGAAATTGAAATACTCCATGTGTAAATAAATGAAAATTTAAATTACATACACATAGCAAAAAAGCATAAGACAGAAAACAAATGGGTAACAAAATCAGGGTTGTTTTGTTTTTGGTCTTTTTGAGACAAGGTCCCCCTGCAGCCCCAGCTGGCCTGGTACTTGCTATATAGACCAGGCTGGCCTTGAACTCACCGAGATCTGCCTGCCTCTGCCCTCTGAGTGCTGGGATTAAAGGTATGCACCACCTCACATGGCCAAAATCAGTTTTTAAGAGCCCTCCCAATCTAAGCAAGGAAGTCACTAAACAAGATAAACACTGTGGAAGGTTGAACCACATATGCTTATACCTCTTCTTCCCATATCTGCTCCCATGTCTGACATGGTACAGGAACTTCAAATTAAAAATATTCTCAGTCTGGAATGCTTTCAAGGTTTACAAAATGGCTTCCAGTCTCAGTAATATGATAGGGGAGAGGAGAGGATTAAAAGGCACCCAGGCCCTGTTAAAGAAACATTGAAAATGCAGAGAAAACAAAACACCTGCAAACTGGAAAGACAAACTTTTTTTTTTTTTTTTTTTTGCAATTATGCCATTATTGTAAAATTTCAAAAATGGGGTTGGAGAGATGGTTCAGAGGCTAAGAGCACTTGCTGTTCTTCCAGAGGACCAAGGTTCAGTTCTTACCAGTTCCAGGGGTTTCCATATCCCCTTCTGGCCTCTGTGGTCACTGCATGTATGTGATACACTTATATACATGCAGGCAAAACACTCATATACATAAAAAAATCCAAAAATGCCTCATATCTGACATATATTGTTTGCCCTTTATTAAATGAAGGCTAGATCTTGCTGTTGTTTGCCACAAGAAATAAGCATTAATAACCTGAAATCCGCTAAACTCCCTGAAAATCTTGCTCAAATTAAGATTAAAGGCAAATATAACAGGCCTGAAAACAATGATTATATCCAGTACCAGGTCATGATCTTAAATACACCATTTCTCACCAAAAGAACCAGGACTCCTTAGGGAAATGGCTTACTTTAGATCTAGGGTAGGAAATGTACAAAGATGAGCCCAAGTCGTGTTAAAATATGCTTGTATAAACTAAAGGATTGCATCAAAAGTAAACAAGAACAGATATTAAGGAGCTTCCTTTGGACAAAAATACAATCATTTGAGCATCAAAAACATAATATATGCTATTATTCATTAAATTATATTTAATTAAAAAATTTACATGAAGGTCTGGAGCAAACCTTTGATCCCAGCATTCAGGAGATGAGGCCAGCCTGGACTACATAGCAAGTTCCAGGATGGCTGGAGTTACAGGGAGACCCTGTCTCAAAAAAATAAAAACAAAAACAATTTACATGATATTAAAAATGAAATATAACAATTATTGAACTGGACAATACTGGAATCAACTAGGGAACCAATTCTTTACTCTGAAATGTGTCAATCAAAGGAAAGAATTAAGTATTTATCCTCTTTATCCTACAAACTGCTTTTCAGGATAAATCAAAAGCCTTAACTGATAAGGAAAAGTTACTTACAGAAGAATTCTAACTATGAAAAATGAGAGCATTGAAAACTAGCACTTTGCAACCTTTATAAAATCACTGATTAATAGCTGAAGAGATGGCTCACTGGTTAAGAGCACAGTCTGTTTGTTCTTACAGAGGATCTGGGTTCAGTTCCTTGCACCCACATGGCAGCTAATAAATGTCACTTGTTCGAGGGGATCTGATGTCCTCTTCTGGCCTCCAAAGGCACTGCACACACAGTTGTACTTACTGTGCATGCAAAACACTCATACTCATAAAGTAAATAAATAAATGAATTACAAAAATCATTAATTAAGGCAATAATCATCAATGAACACGTGTCATTTGGCAAAAAAATCAGTGGAAACTTTATAGTGAAGAGACCAAGTAGCTACCACCAAACCTATTAATTAATCTTGTTACCACTGAAAGTGGACAACTAGATACTGTGTATTGCCCACTGAGAAGCAATATAATGTATACAGTCCAATTATGAAGTATTCATATTTTATATCAAAAAGCATAACCTGGCTGGGCATGGTGGCACAAGCCTCTAATCCCAGCACTCGGGAGGCAGAGGCAGGCAGATCTCTGTGAGTTCAAGGCCAGCCTGGTCTACATAGTTGAGTTCCAGGACAGCTGAGGCTACAGGGAGACCCTGCCTCAAAAAGACAAAAAAAAAATAACCTGGATCTAATCAAGTATCTAAACAAAATTTCCACTTATAGAAAATATAGAGAGCTAGCAGGGCTTGGTGGCGGCATGCCTGTAGTCCCAGCACTTGGGAGGTGGATCTCTGTGAATTCAAGGCTAGCCTGGTCTACATAGTGAGTTCCAGGCCAGCTGGGGCTACAGGGAAACCCTGTCTCAAAAAAATAAATAAATAAAAAATAAAAAGAAAGAAAATATAGAGAGCTAGAAGGACATAATAAAGAGGAAACAAAGAGATACATTCAGCCTGACCTAATTTCTGCAACAAAATGGCAGCAAAACACAAAAAGCTGGGAAGGTTATGGGGGACTACTTTACATTAAAATAGACATAAAAAGGCCAGGCATGGTGGCCTATGCCTTTAGTCCCAGCACTAGGGAGGCAGAGGCAGGCAGATCTCTGTGAGTTCAAGGCCAAGCCTGGTCTATGTAGTGAGTTCCAGGACAGCTGGGGCTATAGGGAGACCCTGTCTCAAAAAGACCATTAAAAAAAAAAAATCCACTACTGGGGGACTAGAGTGATGGCTCACTGGTTAATCTATTCTACTTTTATGTGTTAAGCAGTTTTTTTACACTGGATGTAGTGGCACATGCCTTTAATCCCAATACTCAGGAGGCAAAGGCAGGAAGATCTCTGTGAATTCCAGGCTAGGTTGGTCTACATAGGTAGTTCCAGGCTAAGCAGGGCTACATAGTAAGACCCTGCCTAAAAAAAAAAAAAAAAAAAAAAAAAAAATCTAAACTAAAAAGTGTCATTGTGGGGAAAATAAGTACTTGCAGCAGAAGCATGAGAACAGAGTTCAGATCTCTAGCATGCACACAAATGCTGGGCAGGCAGCCCTGGAATAAGCTGTCCAGACAAACAAGCTTCAGTTTCACCAAGAGACAAAGCATGCACACCAGCACACACATGCCTCTCACACAACACACACAAAATACACACTCATATCACACACATGCACACACACACATTTTTTTAACAATAAAAAACAGGATTCAATCATAACCACTGTGTTCTGAGATATTTACTGTACCTTTTAAAAATTATTTTACTATTTTTTAAAAAAAAATATTTTATTGTTTTTATTTTATGTATATGAGCATATTGCCTGCATGTGTATAAATCCACCCATGTTGTACAATGTCCACAGAAGTCATAAGAGGGCATTGGATCCCCTGGAACTGGAGTTATGGAAGGTTGTTGGCCACCACATGAGTGCTGGGTAGTGAAACTGGGTCTGCTGCAAAAGCACCTAGTGCTCTTAACCACTGAGCCATCTCTCCAACCCCATGTACCTTTTTTTCAAAGTCTTGCTATAGAGTCCTGGCTATCCTACTACTTAGAGCAATTCTCTTGCCTCTGCCTCCTCAATGCCAGGATTATAGGCATGCGCTACCACACCAGCTTTACTATAGCTTTCTTTCAAGGACTAAGTTGCTCAGCATGGTAGCACACACCTTTAATCCCAGTGTTCAGGAAGCAGAGGCGGATCTCTAAGAACAAGGTCAGCCTGGTCTACATAGTGAGTCCCAGGCCAGCTGAGGATACAGGAAGACCCTGTCTCAAAAACAAACAAACAAAAAAAATGACAAAGCTACTTCAGATTAGTACTATGAATTCGTAAGTGCACTCTGAATGTTTTATACCTATTAACTCATTTACTTTCTTAGCATCACATCATCCAATTCAACAGGCTTAAGTTTAATTTACCTGATATACTTGATCTGTAGTACTGTTCTTTTTAACTCTGATGGTAACTGTTGTTCCATCTGGCAACGCTACTCTCAGCTCTACATCAGACACACCATTGTAGTTCTGAGGGAAAAAAAGAACAAATTTGTAACCGCGTTACTCTTACTCTCCTTGCTATATGCTCTATGTTAAACAATAACTAACATAATAGACAGGGAATGAATTCTACTATGATGGGAGAAAATGAAATCTTAAAAGTCAGCAAGTTTATAAGTCATAAAGTCAACAGAAGTTAGTATTTAAGATAAACAGAAAAAAAAAGAAACATTGAAATCAACATGCTCACATTTCAAAACTGAATAGTATGTGAAACAGTCTAGGTCAAACGCAAGAGATTTGTATTCACTCCTGTCACCTCATTCATAACTCACAAAGGAAAGAGAGAACAGAAAGTAGATACAAGTAGTTCCATCGAATCTCTGGTTTTATGGGTAGGGATATAGATTGGCTCAAGGGATAATGTAACTTCTTTTGTAAACCTCCTTTCTAAAACTTGATATAATTAGGCCACTTGAAAAAAGAAAAACAGAGGAGACTTAGGGATACGAATAGTGTCATGCTCAATTTTCTAGCAAAGAATAAATGAGTCTTATTCTTCTTCATTAAAAATAAACACTTAGGGCAGTAGATATGGCTCAGTATCAGAGTGCTTGCATAGAATGCTTAAGGCCCTAGGTCCTAGCCAGTACCACAAAAAAACACCTCATTAGTTGGGTGTGGTGGCACACACTTTTAATCCTAACACTTGGGAGGCAGAAGTAGATGGATCTCTGGGAGTCTGAAGTTGCCTGGTCTACATAGTAAGTTCAAGGTCAGTCATCCAGAGCTACATGAGACCTTGTCTCAAACACACACACACACACACACACACACACACACACACAAACCAAAAACAACAAAAAATAACTCACAAGCCAAAAATAAACCAAAACGACCTCATTGCTTATGATAATTAACATATTTTTTTAATTAATTTATTTTATGTGTATGAGCGTTATGCCTGTGTGTATATAAATGCATCCATGTTGTGCAGTGCCCAGGGAGGACAGAAGAAGGTGTCGGATCCCCTGACTAGAGTTACAAGCAGTTGTTAGGCACCATGTGGGTGCTAGGATTCGAATCTGGATCTTCTGCAAGAGTAGCCAGTGCTCTTAACTGTTGAGCCATCTCTCCAGACTATGTTTGACCAGATACCTGAAACTGTGGAAAGTAAAATCAAGGAAAAGGGGGACTGTTACACTTTATACCCTTATCCACAAGAACCCTCTATCTAGTCAAGAAAATAAGACATACACATGTTAAATAATTGGTGGATAATATATTAGTGTTACATACTCATTCTTCTATCTGATTAATACTTATTAAGGACCTCCAATATGCTTGATATTGTGGTAAGGGACTGGGACTATAAAGATAATCAAGATTTAGCTCTTACCTACTGGTAGCTCACACATTCTTGTAAGCTAAAAATATGAAGTGACATTGATTATATGCATAAAAATTGGGAAAGTAAGATTGCAGTATGATGTTAGTTGAGTGACAATGACTGTACAAGTTCTTGGTGGTATGAAAATGGATGACCTGAGCAATCACGGAAGACTTCAAAGAGAAGGCGGACCTGGAAGATGGCAGATTAGAAGCTGACTCTGCCTAATATGATGAAAGAGAAAAGTCAAGATAACAAAGAATAAGCTCTATTCCAAAGAAAGGGCAGAAGAGCAGGGGATATCCCGGGGTGGGGGGCAGGGGTAGGATAGCAGAAAAGTACAGAGAGCCAGAATGCTGTTCAGAGGAGTGAGCTTTGAGTTGTTTTAAATGATTAGCAGTGCAAAGGATGGGTATGGAAGCAGAATGAGGGAGAAGGTTCCTGGAAGAGAGCACAAGCTCTAGACACAATGGGAATGGGAACATGATGAATTAAGGAAATAAGAGGTACTTCAGGGCCATGAGAGGGCTGGCAGGTTGGCTCAGCAGGTAAAGCTTTGTACTTGCTGCCAAGCCTGACAATCTGAGTTTGATCCCACATGGTAGAAGGAAAGAACCAATTCCCTCGCTGTCTTCTGACCTACACACATGCACTGTGGTGTGGATGCTCTCTCTCACTCACTCTCTCAATCAATCAATCAAATAAAATAAATGCAAAAATAAAGTACTTTATAGGTTTGGAGATGTGGCAGTGTCAAACATTTGCTTAGCAGGGGAGTTTCTGGGCTTCATTCCCAGCACTATAAAGGAAAAAAAAGTTCCAAAAGTATCTGGAATAACGGGTACATTAGACGGGTGGCAAACAAGATTAGAGGAGAGGCCAGATCATGAAGGGCTTTGTGAGTATCAGGTTAAGAGTTTAAATTCTGAACACTGCGGAAAATTTTCAAAAGTTTAAAATAGGGAAATGACAGTAAAATGAATAGAACAATCTTTCAAGAACATTAGCTATGGGGGCTGGAGAGATGGCTCAGCAGTTGGGAGTACTGGCTGCTCTTGCAGAGGACCTGGATTCAGTTCTAAGCACCCATGTGGTGGCTAACAACCATCTGTAACTCCAATTCCACAGGATCCAACGCCCTCTTCTGACCTCTGAGGGCATTGCAGAACATGGGTGTACTTACATACATGCAGGCAATACACTTGTACACATAAAATAAAAATAATAAATAAATTTAAAAAGAAGCTTAGCTATGAAAGGAGAGAAATGGTTACTACAGACAAAGTTGAATTTTTTTTAACATGGAAGATGAGCATGCTTTTACTGCGATAGAGAGGGAGAGAAAGACAGAGAGACAGAGAGAGAGAGAGCATTTTAGCATCTTCTCACAGCAGCAGAATTACCGCAGTAAAATTTCAAGTAGTGAAGCCACACACTCCATTAATAAGGACAGAAAAGAGAATCCTAAACCCAGGGCCTCGGGGATTTTGAGCTCAGCAGGGCCACCATGGCACTCAGCTATAATTTCACAGCATTCTGATGCATCACGGTTCACCAAACAATACCGAAATTAAAAAAAAAAAAAATCACATCAGACATACAGAAGGAAACTTCCTCAAGAAGAAACACAATTATCTAATACAGATGTCCTAAATAGCCATTGTGGCTGCTGTTTGTCATCAGATGAAAAAATTGTCTTTACAATTTTTTCAAAAAGAGAAAGAAAAAAAGGGGGGTGGGATGAATAGGGGAGCAACACAGTGAAAAGGAGCAAGCATCTCATAGTTCCTGCTGAGAGGGAACGGAAGCCTCATTCAAAAGGAAAACAGATGGACCTGGAGAGCACCATGTTCAAAATAAGCCAAACTCAGAAAGAGAAGCAGCATGTTTTCCCTCAGACGTGAAATTTAGATTTAAAAAACTATATACACACGGGACATGAAAGTAGAAGGGGGACATGAAGGGTGGGGTCTACAGGGAGAGGGAAGACAAATATCACATAGACTTAAATACACACACATCAATTAATCACAAAAGCAGAAAAGGTAATCCAGGAGAGAGGAAGGAGGGCAACAAGAGAGGAAGGAGGGGCAAGGGGGGATAATGGTGAACACCAGCAAAATACAAAATGGCATGTGCATGTGTGTGTGCGCATGTGAAAATGTCATAATAAAACCCATTATTTTATAGCCTAACCAAAAAAAGTAATAAAGGAGGACACAGAAAGGTGAGCCTAGGTCTAGCTCTAGGTCTTTTTTTTTTTTTGTCTTTTTGAGACAGGTTCTCCCTGTAGTAGGACTGGCCTAGAACTCACTATATATACCAGGCTGGCCCTGAACTCACAGAGATCCTCCTGCCTCTGCCCCCTGAGTGCTGGGATTAAAGGTGGTGCTAGGTCTTAAATGATAGATAAGCAGGATACATATGAAAAGGAAATAGAAGAAATTCAGTCATTTGGAGAGTTTACCATAATTCAGCCCATGACCATTAAGAGGGAAATAGTAAAGGGGTGTTCACCTACCTCATCAGACTCTGACAGGAATTCCTGCATGATGTCACTCTCACCAATGACTCGGATTGAACACACTGGGGAAAACAAAGACAATCTAGCATCAGGCCCTAAATCAAGAATATAAAAACATATCAAGATTTAAATTGTCAGAGCCAGGTATGGTTGTACACACCTGCAATTCCAGCACTTGGGAGGTTGAGGCAGGAGGTTTGCTGCAAGTTCAAGGGCAGCTTAAGCTGTTTAGCAAGACTTTGTATCAAAAGACACTCACACAAAAATGTACAAAAAAATCAGTAGTAGACAATTCTTCACAATTTTATTTTGCTTTGCTTTGTGTGTGTGTGTGTGTCTTTTTGAGACAGAGTCTCCCTGTAGCCACAGCTGGCCTAGAACTCACTATGTAGACCAGGCTGGCCTCAAACTCACAGAGATCCACCTGCCTCTGCCTCCCAAGTACTGGGATTAAAGGCATGCACTAGTACACCAGGCCAAAAGTCCAGTTTTGAAGCATGACAAACAATTCACCTAAATATGATACAGAACAGAGCAATAAAAAAATACAAAGATGGCCGGGCGTGGTGGCGCACACCTTTAATCCCAGCACTCGGGAGGCAAAGGCAGGGGGATCTCTGTGAGTTCAAGGCCAGCCTGGTCTACATAGTGAGTTCCAGGACAGCTGGGGCTACAGGGAGACCCTGTCTCAAAAAGAGCAAAAAAACAACAACAAAAAAAAACCCAAAAGACAAAGATGTAGCTTGCTAAAAAAAATATTAAACATAGAAAAGAAAAAAGTATAGTAGATCTAAATTTTCAATGTGTGTGATCAATCACCACGTGAAGATGGGGAAAAAAGGCAGTGAGAGAACAGAAGTCAGCAGAGAATACATATACCAAATTAATATAGTAAGGGGTTTAGTCAGCCTATCTAGAGTCTCTCTCTTCAAAATCAGCTCTTCCTCATCCAGAAATATTCAGCTGCTAATAATTCTTCAACTAAGATTAGGGCCTGCTGTTCATTTCCACAGTTCTGTGCTGGGTTTCTGTCATGCCTGTTTGCATGGGTCTTGTGCATGCTGACACCATTGCTAGAGGTTTTTATGAGAAGGGTTCCAGAAGCCTGTTGGACTATTTCCGTATGGTCATGCACCCCCCCTTCCCTGGGTCTTACAATCTTCCTGTACCCTTCCACAATGGTCCCTGAGTCTTGGGTGGGTAGACATCAATATAGGAGACCTGTTCAAGGACCCACACTCTGCAGACTCTTGTTCTCTGCATTTTGGCCATTTGTGACCTTTTGTGTTCCTGGCCCTTTGTTGCATGAGGGAGCTTCATTGATGAGAGTTGAAAGATGCATTAGTGTTCTCTTCATCCCTTGTTCTATGTTCCATGAGTCTTGGGTGTAGAGGTTGCATCCTAGATGTGCCACTTAGGCTTGGCAATTCACAATTTCTGTGTGTGACCAGTGGTATAATTCTGTAATTAGTAATCTCTGCTGAAAAACAAGCTACTTTGATTGGTGGTGACTGGGATATTTGTCTGTAAATTTAAGGGTCCATATTTTGCACATAGTAAGAAATTCTATTTGTCTAGCGATATGAGAACCTTGGGGTTTTCTCTAAGATCTATGGCCTCTCCAGCTATGTGTATTTGGCTAGGTTTGCAGTACCAGACATGAGTTTCCTCCCACTCAGTGGGCTTTAAGTCCAGTTAGGTAGCTGTTGATTATCCACAAGATAAAAGTGCCACTACTGCACTAATGTCATTTGCTGTGCTGGTCTCACCGATGTGGTTTTTAGGCCTTGAAGGCTAGGGTTGGACCACTGATTGATGTTCTCGCTTGCCTAAAGATCTCCAAAGCTATGAGAGCTAGCCTTCAGGGGAGGTGGCTTCCAGGTCAGTTCCAGCTCCATTGCTCCATATCCTGTGTCCAATAGGGTCTTACCATCAAGTTCTAGGAGGCAATCAAGGACTGTGGCAATAGCCTGTGTAATTTTGTAGTCTCTTAGACTACCTGGCCAACAACTCAAAGGAAGGTTTCTCCTGTCTGGCACTGTTTCTTGTTATGTAGTCTTCAGCTATAATCACAGACTCACGTAGGGATATTGTATGTGTAATTTTTCAGTAGGTTTTTGGACTAATATGATTCCCTCTGTCATTTTTATACTAGCTAGGCACTATTTATAGCTCCTCTTTCCCTCCCTGTCTTATCCTCCCTTTCCACCCTTCCCATTTAAAGTATCCCCATTTTCCCCATTTCTCCCTTGATAATTTTAATATGCTGTGGTCCCACCTCCTTTGAGCTCCTTCTTACCTCTTTATTTCCATAGGTCTTTGTATAGCCCTTCTTCTCTCCCTCCTTTTTTTTTTTTTCAAACAAGATTTCACTATGTAGACCAAGCTGGGCTCAAACTCACAGAAATCATCTGCCTCTGCCTCCCAAGTATGGGGATTAAAGGCATGCACCCAAAGTTTTTTAAAAAATTAGTCCTTATACAAGCACATAAAGACACAGAATTACTAAACACCATTTAAGACCATTATTCTATTAAACCAATACTTTAAAAAACCATTTTATTTATTTTACTTATTATTTTATGTGCATGAGTGTATTGCCTATATGTATGTGAGTACACCTGTGTCATGCAATGCCGCAGAGATCAGAAGAGGGCTTTGGATTCCCCTGGAACTGGAGTTAAGGACAGTTTGTAGCCACCATGTAGGTGCTGGGAACAGAACCCCATTCCTCTGCAAGAGCAGTCAGTGCTCTTAACCGCTGAGCCATCTCTCCAGCCCCCCAAAAAAACCCCATTTTAAAAACCTAGCACACAGCTAGCAAGTTATATAGCTATAGTATAGCAAGGCAAGTCTCTTCTTTGAGCTACAAGATTGTCTTCCTTTCTAGAGAAAGAAGTATGTCAGAATCAACGTCCATAGAACTCAAAGTTGTCATAAGGAAGTTCAACTAATTCTATTTAGATAGCCTGCTTAAAACAAGATTAGACTGTCTACAGCTCAGCAAGCCTATCCAGGAATACCAGTAAAGGAATAAGCAATTTTCATGTAGGATATCCCAAGGAGCAAAGAACCATAGAATGTATTTACAAGTAAATATAACCCTATAAATAGTTCACTAAGGACTATCCAAATGCATAAACAGTGATTCGTGTTTCTGTTATTCAGTGCTCTGCAAGCTTTATAATGAAGCAGGCTACTAGTCACTGTATTGGGTCTTTCAGTCTTCCTGTCAGAGCTTAGATCATTCAACACTTCTAGTCAGAAACATGACTCTTCACTTTGAGTTTCAGGAAACGCAGCCATGTATTTAGAAGTTAGAAGCTGCGCCTATTCAAGATAATAAGAGTTTAATGGGCTGGCTTACCCTTTTTAATTTTTAAAAACCATATTCATTTATTATTATTTTTCACTTAGTGTGTGTGAATGGATTTGTGTGAGCTCAGACATGCTACTGCACATGTGTGGGAGTCAGAGGACAACTCTGGGAATTGGTTCTCTCCTTTTACCATGTGGATCCCAGGGATTGAACTCCAACCATTAGGCTTCGGGGCAAGCACATTTACCTGCTGAATCGACTCACCAGCCCTGGCTTACCTTTTTCTAGATATTCTTCCAACCCCCGACGCCGAGCATCTAACTGTTGTTCTGATAATGAGAATGGCCACTTTCCTGGAAGTCGAGGAAATGTAAAGTTGGCAAATTCTCTTTTCAGGTTCTGGTGCAGGATGGCAAACTCCCGGTACCGCTTAGAACACAGCTGCCTCCCTGCCATGTAAACATTGTATACCTGATGAGGAAGAAGAACAGAGGAAAGCCTACTTACTTCAAGATAAATCTCAGTCATCTAAACTCACGTTCAGATGCATATTGGCTAGGTGCATTTCTATGCACTACAAAGACTACTCGAGGTCACTTTAAAAGAAAACTTTTAGGTGCTAGAGAGATGACTCAGCAGTCAAGAGCACAGGCTGCTCTTGGGAGAAGACCCAGTTCAGTTCCCAGCACCTATATGGTGACTAAAAGCTGTTCATTGCTATTTCCCAAGGGATCTGCTGACCTCCATGGGTACTGTATGCACATGGTGCATTTATATACACATAGTCAAAACATTCACGCATATAAAATAAAAATAAACATTTTAAGAAATCAACAAAAGCCGGGCTTGGTGGCGCATGCCTGTAGTCCCAGCACTTGGGAGGCAGAGGCGGGTGGATCTCTGTGAGTTCAAGGCCAGCCTGGTCTACATAGTGAGTTCCAGGACAGCTGGGGCTACAGAGAGACACTGCT